CTTTGCAAGGAGTAAGAGCTCAGTAGGTAGATATGATAGAGTGATTCAATAATAAAAACGCGTTAATATTACGCGTTTTTTATTTGTCTTGAAAAGGTTGGTGTATCTATAGTGCTAGTTATCGGTTTCAACTACCTAGGTATATGGGGTCACGTTTGATCATGTGACCTACATCGTCTTATAAAAGGAACAGGATAACAAAAGAGACTCTTAAGGCTATACTAGTAATAAGCCTAAAAGACTAGGGGTGCTTAATAGATAAGGACGAGGATATACTACTAAAAGACGCGTCACTTAAGGCTAATTACTTTGTACTTTAGTTACTACTTATAGTATTTATTAATTACTACTCTAATTAACTAATTGGTTAATTAAATTAAATTAACTAGACCTATTAATCAAATCAAATCAAATCAAATCCAAATAATCCAAAGCATTAATTGATTAGTTGATTGATTTGTTCCCACGCTACTAACGAGGAAATAATAAGACGACTATTAATGTGACGACACGCACAGCTGATGGACCGCGCACGAATGCACGACTACGCCTGGTGTAAGTTGGGCACTGTGGAACTGTCTATTCGAGGATTCTAAGCTGAAGAGAGAAGAGAAAGAAAGGACAGAAGCCCAGGAGCTGGAAGCTCTTATATACCGGAGGTGTGCCAAGACATAGCTAACCGAGCCGGGCTCGGGAAGCACGGGGCACGCCGGGTGCCAGCCAGGGGCTGGTTTGAGGCATGGTGGCGGTAAGAACCGTCACAATTAAAGTTATAGTTATAGAAGTGTGGCATTTAGTTGAACTAGGTAGGAAAGAGAGTCCGAAACTCGTAGTACTAAATACAGTTCCTAGCGCTTGGGCCACAAGCGCCTGCTAGCGCATCCACTATGTGAGCTCACTTCTCAACAACGACGTATATATAAGAGACGTGGTTGTTACTAGACTCTGTATACACCTTTCCAAGACTAAAATTACTTTAAAAGCGTCGTACAACTAAATTAGTCCTATAAAGAGTTTAAAATAATTGTTACTGCTTTATCTTTATTCCTCTATGTATGCTAATACGATTATTTCACTTGTGCTAGACGTTTAGTATAATAACGTTTTATATAGTGTGTACAGAGTAATGACCAAGCATCTTATATAAGCAAGGACATACCAAAAACTAGAAGGCAGTTAGTGGTAGAGTATGTATAGTGGTGGAATGTATCATATAGTACTGGGTACGTAGGTAGTTTAAATGTTATCAAATTTGCATGGCAGTACTAACAAAATAAACGAGTGGCACAAGGTGGTAATTCTGTCGCAAAAATATCAACTTCATTTAGGTGGTCTACTGCCGTTTTCCAATGTGCACTCCATCTCTTAAATAATCCCAATACTCTACATTGAGTTCCAAACTCCTACGTAATCAATTTCGAAAGACGCTACCTCTCCTCCCAAAGTATTATTGTTTGGTGGACCCGGCCACTAGTCAAACCGTTAGCTCAAACACGCCCAAAGGTTCCCAAAGCAGTAAAGGGAGTAAAGAGAGAAGGGAATAAACTTACATTCCCCCCAACAGCAACGTTGAGCAGGAAGAAATGTCCCAGATGAGCAACCTCCTTCCAGGACTCGAAATCCCCGACTTCTCTTCCTGCGACTTCAAACACGTTCCCGCCATCGAGCCACCAGCTTATAGTTTCGCTTTTCCATGCTTCTTCTGTTTCGTTACCATTCCTGGTGTGGTTACTACTCTTAGTCCAGTGGGGCTTCCTAACATCTCTGTCGACCATGAAGGCGACTTGATGCCATTTCTCTCTTTCAAAGGGGGTTCCTCCTGCAGCAGCGTTGCCGATGCCATCATACTCCCTACAAGGTCCGTTGGGCGCGGTTCCGCAATGAAGAGTAGAGTAATATACATCCTCGCCATTAAGCACTTCCATGATATCCCACTCTGAAGCCATGGGCCAGTAAGTGTTGCTTGGACGGAAGTTTTCGCCTAAGTGGGATGTTAGTTATATTGTCCAAGTGAGTGTCGTGACAGAGTTTCCTCAAGAGAACTAAGAAGGAAACAAGAACACGAACCCAAAGCCCAAAATGCCGGCCAAATCCCCTGCGCCGTGCCCCTTTCTGGTTTCCTCAATTTGACCTTCGCCTCAACCCATAACTTTCCCCCTTCCGCCGCCTTAAAATCTGCCCTCTTCGTCTCGATTCTTGCACTCGTCCAACCCCCAACATCAGTACCCTTTCCAAGCGGCGTAATAAGCAAAGTATTATCCTCAGTAATGCGGATGTTATCCGTTGAGTTGGTGTAATTTTGGAACTCGTTGTTACCCCATCTATATGGACCACCTGGATAGTTGGCACCTAAATCGAATTGCCAATTTCTGGAATCCGGAAGGTGGTCATGTGTTGGCTTGAAGGTTTCTAGCCAGGTGTTTCGCCAGCCTTCCTTTCTGGCAATTTCCATGTTGAATTGGCGGGGGGCAAGATGGTAGTTCGTTCGGAGGTGGGTGTGGGGTATTGCGGTGACGGTTGCACCGAGTGCAAGAGAAATGATGAGGAAATTCATCTTTTTCTCCTTATTCTCGACCTTTTTTGAAGACAGGAAAAAAGTGTGCTGTGATAGTACTGGAAAATGAGTGTAAGAATAATAAGAATCAAAGTAATGACTGAACTAGCGGTCTTAAAGAGATCGATAAGTGAAATCGAAACCGAATTAAAGGTGAGACAGATCCGTTATATAATGGAATTCCATGTTGATCTCATAATGAACAGGGTCACAAAGTTCTCATCATTTCATTAAGGTTCCTTGTCCTGCAAGGTACCATCTGGTAAATTCTGGAGTGCCGAGACGGATCTCCGCCGACACCTGGCCAAGGTGTTTTCCGGCATGAATCTGCAAAAATTGACTTTGCCATTTATAAATGACCTCAATCGACAAATTGCTATAAAATAGTGGGGGGAGGGGAAGCACACCCTAAATAGCGTTACGATGTTAAGCTGTAAGTAAAAATTCCTTTGTCAAACTTGGAGTATACTTGACATACAGTAGCACTCACATGTACCATCTGGCTTCTCCATCGTAAATAACCACGTGATTATGTATAAACTTGTAGCCTGTTTTCCGATTATAGTGTCCCTCAATATCTGATGGGAGAAGTGCTTAGAAGGTGTACAATACAGACCCTTAGAACGGTAGGGCAAAAGTGGTTTCAAAAGCCAGAAAGGGGTTTCAGAGCACACATACTGTAGCTTCAGGGCAATAGGACCAAATAGGGCCTAAACCTCTAAGTGATGGTATGCAATTATAAGACAGCGCATTCGACAGTAAACAAATAATTTATTCCATAAAACCGAAAATTCTAGCTTACAAAGATCAGGACTTAGTAGGTAATCTAGATCTTCGGTAGTAGGGTGATTTAGCAACCACATTTTAGTGGCGATTATAAGTGTAGGTTCGTACTAAAAAGTTGTTGAAAATCTACCTAAAGTGTTGCCACTACCAGAGATCGAACATGGTCTTAACTTATGTTAGTACTAACAAAAGGTAATCCACAAGCTATCCTACTTTTTAGTCCCTAATTAAGTCTGGTACAGGCAATGTAAGCGTTCGTGTTCTAGATAGACTCCTCGTACTTATATTTATATTAGAAAGTGTCCCTATATACTCTTTATTCGATAATAATTCTTCACTAAAATCGGCTAGCCAAACCTCTTCTAAAATTATAAACCTTATTACTTGTACGCTAAAAAACTTTACTACTAACATGAAAAACCGGTTGCTAAATCATTCTAGTAGGGGAGACGTTGCAATACGATAGCAATGGAGCTTATGGAAAGCTTGAGGTACTTCGTCCCAGGAGTAATAATTCTAGTTTTGCTAGGTATATATCGACGGACTGCGAGTTTCTCATTCGCTGGTTTCGCCGAAAATCAGGGCCGACCTGTAATATAATAAAGGACAGTGTCCAGCTTTAACTATCCACCCTCTTTACCAACACACGATAACGCGGCTCAATATCCCATCGACAACCGGGTCTAAATTGTGTTTTTCTGGAGAAGTGGATACTCCTGGTGGTGTTAGAACAAGATCTACGGGCCAAGATCTTCCCTTTCTTGGCATTCTGACGTACCGGTACACAAATAGATTAACTCATGAAAAACGCTGAGCAGCAAATTTTGCAGAATTGAAAAGAAACAAACAAGTCGATACATGGGTTTTCCAATCACCAACTTTCATTACACCGTGGTTCCTTTCAGGGAGCGCATATGTTTACCCATGTGCAGGGAATACCTATGTTGTTGCCGAAGTATCTCGTAAGTTATGCCAGTAGATAGTATACCAGGATCCCCATAGAAAAGAGAACGACGGGATGACCTGGTAATTTATATCCACGAAGTGCAAGTTTGGGATGTGCTTTTATTTCGAAATACAATATTCATGTATTGTTCTATAGTTATTTGTGAATATCGGTGTCCAGTCTACTGTATCGACTCTCAACCCAACTACAGTATCTTTAACAAGATATTATTAGGACACATTCTACGTATATTGAATGTTTTTATAACAATGCTAGGTGACCTCGATATAACAAGTAGATATACTTAAGATTTGATCTACGCGGATTGTAATCACTCGATGGTCTGCATATATAGAGTGAAACCTTCAGACGCGATGGGATTTTGTACCTGCATTAGGCAACGATCGAGAGAGTGGTCATATCCGACTGGACCAATAAGAACCACTATTCCTTCCAGCAAGAATGGCGGAAGAAACTCAAATCCAGTGAATATGAAACTCTCCATTCCATGTCTACCCTCGTCATAAGTCATTGCCATGAATCAATTCCCTTCGCTTCACTGGATACCTGCCACATGACTGCTAGCGCATTCGACGACTTGCTAGTGCATGTTACTAGTGTCTTCGTCACTGCGGTCCTGTACATTATAAGTACTAGCTCGCTCCTAGATTAAAACATAAGAGCTTTCTGCTGCGAGTCACATCTAGCACCATAAGCTCGTGGCCATGCTAACATGCTCGCTTTTCGCTTATCGCCATGTTGTATATAAAGAGAGCGAATACTCTATATGCCCTTAATCAACCTGGTTTCAATCCTCTTACTTCTTGTCGAAGCAAAGGGGTAGCTAGCAGGTGGATAGGCATATTATAGGGGGGTGAGGAGGGGACTCTCCCGATTGCTTTGTAGCTACTACACTATTTATTTTATATTTATTTATTGCTATTTAACGTCAAGCGTAGTCTAGCTCGCGTGGGCTAGGTCCTAGAAGAGTCCCAAAATAGGGCAAATGACGCTAGGGGGGTGCCCTAGGCTACAGGGGGGTGTAAACGAAAGAGCTAATTTACATGAGGCAGTTTAAAGAGAAGCTCCACTTTCGGAACAGCTCTTATCCTTAATTAGTTTAAGAACCAGGGTAAAACAAAGGAGATATATAAAGAAAAAGGAAATAAAAGAAGGCCTGTCTATCTAGAGAGGCAGATCTTAGTGTAGAATTCAGTATTGAAGTAAACCTTGCTAAAGAGCTCTTCGCAGTGGGATCCGAAGAGCAGTTGAGGATTTCTCTTAGCCTTAGCTAATAGCTTAGGTGCTTTGTTGTTTGCTAGCTTGCAAAAGAGTAGGTGGAATTGAGACTTAGCCTTCCTGCACCTACACTCCCCCGAGGTGAGAAGTGTATCATAGTGAAAGAAACGAAGGTGGTAGGCGGTGAAGTCTCCATGGCCAGAACGAGCAGCTATTAAGCGGGCTAGGACCTCTCTAGGCAGCTGGAGAGACCGGGGTTTCAAGGACCAGTTGTAGAGCCCTAGATCCTTGTAAAGACCTGGAAGTGTAGTGCTCCAGAGCTTCTTCGCAAGCGTGCCCCCTAGCTCCTTTACCTCTCTCTTAAGCGTGGCTGTACAGAGTAGAGAGGGGGGACCAGGAAGAAGTATCCGCGCTGCTTTTCCTGCAGCTTTATCCGCAATCTCATTGCCAAGGATACCTATGTGGCTAGGACACCACCTTGTCTGTATTTTCCCAGGGTACGATTGAGCTAATTCGTAGACCCTGTTAAATGTCTCTTGTGAGGTGCCACAGGACCGGTAGGTCAGCTGTAGTGTGGCTTCAAGGTTGTCAAGGCAGATCCAGCACTTCCTTGCCGAAGGCCAGAAAGAGGATTCTAGGGCAAGCTCTAGGCCATGGAGAGCAGCTCTAGCTTCTGCATCATATATTTCTAACGCTTTGCCGAAAGAGAAGCTCTTTGTATTAAGAACAACCCCCCCTCTTGTGAGGCACACGCCCCCACCAGTGCTTTTATCGTCCAAGCGAGAGCCGTCGGTAAATACTACTAAGTCGGTAGGTGGGAGTGTAGCTAAAAACTCAAGGAATTTGGCCTTAAAGGAGCTCTTGTCTCCACTGGGCTCAGGTCCTGCTACCTCTAGAAGCCGGGATTGTCGGTTGAAACCTCTGTCCCACGGCGGGTCTTGTATAGGGTCGATCTCTTCAGAGGGGGGCAGGGCTCTATAAGAGCGGTAGATAAGCCTAGCTTTAGAGCTAGGGTTATTTACACATCGTTTAAGCGGGTGGGTAGGGTCTAGCCGTCGGATCCTAGCTTCTAGTGCTTCGCTCCTTGTTATAAGAGCAATTTCAGAGGCTAGGAGGCCAGATTCCATGAGTAGTACCGAGGTAGGGGTAGTCTTATATACTGGGAGGATAATCCTCGCACATTTAGCCACTACTCTGTCTAAAAGAGTCAGGTGACGGCCAATTCGGTTGTTTGTAGTCCCTCCTTCCTTGGCTCTGGCTCGTCCAGGGAACCAGGTCTCGCTTCCAAAGTAGGCGATTGATAGAATGCAAGCTGTAGTGGCCTGTTTCAGCAGATGGGAGGGAGAGCCTCTTACTGTGTTTGTTGTCCCTTTTAGGGCAATCGCTACAAGCGTAGCCTTACTTGACATCCTTTTAACATGGTTGTAGAAAGTAAGACGGGGATCAAAGAAGACACCAAGCCATCGAAGCTCTTGAGTTGGCTCTATTGTCCTGTTTCCCACTACAATAGAGGGTGGTAGGCAGATGCCTCTCCCTTTTTGCTTTCTCTTACGAGAAAAGTGGATAAGTTCAGACTTCTCCGCGTCGAAGGTAATGCCTTCCTCTGTTCGCCACTCTAAAGCCTTAGGCACCTGTTCTGCGAGGACCTTAACATTCCCTGCCTTTGTAGGCCCAGAAGCAAGTAATCCAATGTCGTCCGCGTAGCCGAACCTTTGTAACACTGGGAAAGAGCCTACCCCTAAGGAGAAGAGTGGCTGGATGTAGAGCATAAAAAGGATGGGCGAGATAGGAGAGCCCTGGGGCAGCCCGCACTGAAGAGGAGTAGAGACTCCTATTTCCCCGTCCAGCTTTACTTTGACAAATCTGTCGGTCAAGAAAGAAGTAACCCATGCTACAAAGCTATGCGGCCATCCTTGCTCTCGTAGCC